GCCTGTAATCCCAGCACTCTGGGAGGCTGAAGCAGGCAGATTACTTGAGCCCAAGAGTTCGAGACCAACCTGGGAAACATGCTGAATCCCCATCTCTACAAAAAATACGAAAATTAGCCAGGCATGGTTTACAGTCGCAGCTACTCAGGAGGCTGAGGTGGGAGGATCGCTTGAGCCAGGAGGTGGAGGTTGCAGTGAGCTGAGATCCTGCCACGGCACTCTAGCCTGGGCAGTAGAGTGAGGCCCTGCATGGAAAAAAAAAAAAAAAAAAAAAAAAAAACCTAAAATAAAATTGCTATAAGGTTAACACAGAAAAATTTATTCATACTCTTAAGTTAGGCATTGACTTCTTAAGCAGGACACAAAAAAGCAGTAACCATAAAGGAAAAGATTGATAAAGTATAATTTCATTAAAATTAAGAATCTCAGGCTGGGTGCAGTGGCTCATGCCTGTAATCCCAACACTTTGGGAGGCCAAGGCAGGTGTATCACTTGAGCCCAGGAATTCCAGACCAGCCTATGCAATGTGGCAAAACCCCATCCCTACTAAAAATACAGAAAAGAGCTGAGTTTGGTAGTCCTCCTCTGTAGGTCCCAGCTACTTGGGGACTGAGGCAGGAGGATCACTTGAGCCTTGAGAGGACAATGTTGCAGTGAGCTGTGATTGTGCCACTGCACTCCAGCCTGGGCAATAGAGTGAGATCCTGTCTCAAAAAGAAAAAAAAAGTTAGAGAATCTCCATTCATGAAAAAACACCATTAAAAGAGTGAAAAAGCAAGCTACAGATTGAAAAAAGGGAAATGCAATACATATACATCCTAGAAAGGATCCATATCCAGAATAAAGTATTACAAATCAACAGAAAAATGTATCAATGAAAACTGGATAAAAAGATTTAACAGGCACTTCACAAAAGAGGACATATAAATGGCAATAAAAGATACTCAATCTCAATACCAGGAAAACACAAAATGAAACCACACTGATATATTACTGCTCCCCTACTAAAATGGCAAAATAATTTTTAACTGACAGCATCAGCAAGGATGTGGGGTAACCACAATATCCCTGCTAAATGGTATAACCACTTTGGGAAAATTTTCAACAATATGTAATACTAAAGTTTTATCATTCATATGCCTCTAAAACCTACAATGCCACTCCTACAAATATACCCCAGTCTAGTAATGTTCTATTTCTTTATCTGTGGTGGTTCACTTGGTAAAAATTCGTTACCTGTCCTTTTTTTTTTTTTTTTTTTTTTTTGAGCAAGGTCTCACTCTGCCATCCAGGCCAGAGTGCACTGCCATGATCACGGCTCACTGCAACCTCAACGACCCGGGATCTGGTGATCCTCCCACCTCAGCCTACGGGGTAGCTGGGACTACAGGCACACACCACCACACACAGCTAACTTTTGTATTTTTAGTGGAGATAGGGTTTTGCCACGTTGCCCAGGCTGGTCTGGAAATCCTGGGCTCAAGTGATCTACCCACCTTGGCGTCCCAAAGCGCTGGGATTACAGGTATGATCTACTGCGCCCGGACCACCTGCACATTTAAAATTGTGAACTTCTGTATACTTGAGTAACTTTTTGAAGATTTCTTTGACACGAAGTTCTCAGAAATCTTAAAGCTAGCACGTCACAATAGAAAAAAAGAGCTTCTGGTTCACTGGTGAAATTTTACTAATAACATTTAAAAACAAAAAGAAAGCTGCTAACACATATCAGCTCAGAACAAAGGCAAAACACTACCAGCAGATCACTTTTCTTTAACTTCCTGAAGCACTGGGATTCATTCTTTCGGCAAAGAAAGAATGAACAACACTGGAACCCAAAGAAAAGATACCACTGCAAGAAAAGACTTCTTTGGAAAACAGCTCTAGCAGCAAAAGATAGGAGGAAAGCAAGGAAACCATGCCAAAAGCCTTGGTTAACTCTTCAGTGAAAGGACGCCAAATGAGATGATCTAAGAAGCTAGAAAGACAGACAGACAGACAGACACAGGGAAATCACAGCAACTCTTTGGAGGGCAAACACCAACCCCACAATCCAGACTACTGGAAACTGCGATTAACTTGAGGCTTGCCCCACTAGTCATGAGGTGATTCAGTGATGGCTACAAACGCTCCTCATGTGCATCCTGGACCTGGCACACCTGGCTTGCCCATCACCAGCCTAGAGACACCGCCAGGAGCAGAATCCCAGGGGCCAATAAAAATCTCAATTTTGCAAGTCAGGGGCACGAGCCCTCTCGCCTCTCAGGTCCGCAGAGGGAACCGATTTCCGGCCTCCAAGGT